ATAAACTAATTACACCAAAAGTGTGTAATTTTCCAAACAACAACAAATAAAACTAGTTAAAATAGAAATAATAAATAAAAAAATACAACTCTATCAGGAACCCAGGATAGAGAACGAGTATCCTCCCCTAAATCGACTGTACCCTATCCAAACCCACGAACTATGCCATTTGAGGACCTTGCGTCCGTCATGTTTGACTGTATTCTAGAGACAGAAGAAGGTAACTGAACCGAGCTACAACTAGCTCTTCTCCGTGTTCTAGATACACAAAGCACATGCCGTGAAAGTCTCTGCGGCAACAAACGTTCCCATGAGGATCCTGAGGATTCGTATCCTCATGAGGGGGAGAACAAGCGGCATCGGACACTTGAGCATGTTGCTTCTTTCAGCCACACCCAACCGCAGCCAAACCAACCCTCCTCCTCAACCAACCAACAACAACATTCCTCCTCTACCCAACACAAAACCAAAGCCCTTATTTCTAGTCCGGTCGAGCTAGACGAAACATTCTGAGGCTCATCTCCTATAGATGCAGAACAAGGAGGTAATGGAAGTCTTGATGTTATTACCTCTGGTACATCATTTTACTCAGGCCATCAGTCAGAACCTAGTTCCAAGTATATGACAACAGGCAATCCTAGTGATCCCGGTACCACTTATAACAGGTCACCACAACCACAGCAAGCTCCCTCTAGCCCCTCGTCAGAACGCATTCACAATGAATTGGAAGATATTCTTATCCATAACAGATGGTCGAAGCCATGGACAGAGTGGGATGACCTTAGAGGGGAAGCTGAACAATATGAAATGCAACGAAGCTGGTTCCTCAGAGAGCTTCTTGCCAAATGCGATGTTGATATCATAAGGCTTGAGGAAGATGAACTCAAATAAGGGGAGAACTACAAAGAAACTCCTAAGGAGCTGGAATCAGTCATCATACAAACAGCGGCTCAGATGCCCAAGAATGAAAAGCCCTGGGAGAATGTCAGAATCAATGCCCCCTTCCAAGAGGAAATCAAAAAGCGAATATGGCAAAGACCAGAGAAATTGAAACGACTTGATGAACTCAAGATATGTGGCCTCAACCATCTACAAGGAAAGAACAGAGGCGGACAACTTCACATGTTGAGCCACAAATCCATGGGAAAACAGGGAGAAGTGCTACAGCATAATCTTCAGACTGCCAGGCACCCTGTGTGGAAAATTCTAGACGTAGCTGAAGCTGATCATCACACAATAAAGCTCTTTATTTATCGCCTACAACGCTCTGACGGGTCAGAGTTCGTCTGCCAAGAGAATGACTTTTTCATTATCAAAATGGATGACATCTATCAGATATTCATGGCTCACAGAGAAATTCCCGTCAATTGCGACAGAGTTGTAAAAGAAGACTTCGATGCATTCAAACGATTTATGGTCAGACAAGTCCGATTCTTCGGTGCCCATGATCTTCAGATGGCCCTTGAAAACAATCTTCCAAAGGCAAAATCTCACAAGACCAAAATCGTCTGGGCCGGAGCTTGACCCGTTTCCAGCATATCACATCTTTGATAGCCCAGTCTCAATCATCTATTTGAATCATAATGGTGAGAAGCGCCTGTTGAAAATTGAAGAAATCAACAAATATTGTGATGGGACCTTGAAGATCATAGGGAGAAGTTGTTACCAATCAGAAGGGACTTCGAAAGTAGACAACAAGTACATGTTGATGCATCAGATGCTGAACTTGAGGAATCAAATAGAGTTGACAAAATTCTGAAAGCTATCGAGAAACAACTTGACAAGAGAAGGTCACTCAGACAGTACGAACATGCACTTAATATATCTCAGAAAGAACTATTACAGAGCTCAGAAGTGAAGAACAGCAAGACGACACTTGATCACAAAGGGGGAGATTGTTGAAGATTACTTTATTGCGAATCAAGTTTGTCATTTGTCTTGTTTATTTAGTTTTATCTTTATCTCTTATGATTTATAATAAATGTAATAAGTAGGATAGAAAAGGAATTGAGACCAAATATGTTAGGCCCATATTCCTAGGTTAGGCCTATTTTAGGCAGACTGTCACCCACGCCTATAAATACGCGCATAGGGTGTACAGGTCGAATAATCAGAAAATAGCATTTCGCATAATTCACGCTTTCTCTGCTTAGTTTCTCGATAGTAATATAAGAGAGTTCACTGTTCGATACATTGCATATCATTATTTGAATCTCTGCTTTTTACTTATCAATGAATCCATTCTGTAGTTGATCTATTATCATTCATACATTTTGGGACCAACACGTCCAAATATTGAACTTACATAAACAAATATCAAGAACATTTGTGGTAGCATTTCTAACATTGATCTCATTCAATAGTTTACTTCATACAACACTTCAATATTCATCACTGCTAATCTCCTAATTACTAACCTTGTATCATAAAGAATCAAAATTACCTATTCTATTGCATCTTTTTCCACAAACACTTGTGCCCAAAACACCACAAACAACTAGTCAACTAGGAAGTGTGCACAGTACACATGCACTTTATTGAGTTTCAAACAAATTTCATCTATTATCATCTTCAAACTTCATAACTATTTTCCTCATCAAATGTTCATCTTGTAGAGAAATCATTCTTACTACTAGTATTGCACCATTGATTCTTCATAGAACCCTGCTTCCAAAACTTTGCACCGGAAATGAATGAAATAAGTACATAAATATAATGATATAATAAAGTTCTATTTATTTATGGTACAATTCAAGCTATTTGATTAACCATCTCATTGCATCTTAAAAGAAAAGTTTATGTATATACGTAGCTCAACTATAAAAGTGTAATTATTTGTGATTGCAACCATAAGGCTTGACTTTTACTACACACGTAAGAAAACCAAAACATGCATAAGGTTGTATGTATACATATACACTTTGACTTTCAACCAACTTTTTTTTCATTCAACTTCCTTTCAATTCAATATGTATCATTCTGGATTTTCTAATCAAACAAAGCTAAGCTACAAATGATAGTCAAGCAAACATGACCCTAGCTATTTTATGGTATGGCACTGGCAAAACGAGGAAGTGAAAGAAAATGTGAAAGACGTCATTAAACCCCATTACACAGCCATTGAAAGTGTCTATGGGAATTCTTTAGTAGTAGGCAAGTAACTTAATACTCCATCCGTCCAGTAAACAACTTCTCACTTTCCTTTTTGGGCAGTCCCGAAATTAACATTGCACTTCAATACTTTCCTTATTTGGCAAATTATCTACATCAAAACAGTGTCAAACAGTGTTTAAACAGTGCACTCCACAGTAAAGTCAAATTTATTTTCTTAATCTGTGTGAAGTCAAAGTGTGAAGTTAATTGTGGGACGGAGGGAGTACATTATTCTAATATTATCTATTGCATTATTTTGATACCTGCATTTCATTGTACTTTAGATGCATCTTGTATCATGCAATCATGCATCTATATGCATCACAAACAAACTCATATGCTTTAAAATATTGCATCTAAAATCTTAAACACCCGCATCTTACATTTAAAACTCTACAAGGGATTGCACCTTACATTAACTATTTTTGTGTGATAACTCCATCACACAAAAACCAGATTCATGTAAAAATATCCAAAAAAAAAAAATAGTTAATGTATTAGAATTGTTGTAAGAAATAATTGAAAATTGAAATATATACAAAGTACGGTAGATATATTAGAATTGTTGTAAGAAATAGAGTTAATTCCCTATATAGGTCAAAAAAGTGACCCAAGAGCACAAATAGGACTACATGTTTTTTATTCTCTCTAGTATAACTATTTATGTGTATTTGGACAATATACCCTTGAGGCTTTTGAAATGTCTTAGTTAATAATAAATTCATAAAATAATAATAAAAACATAAAAAAAACATCAAAAATTAATTAAAAAAATTATAAAATATTTATAAATTTAAAAAAAAATAAAAAGAAATTAATAAAAAATAAAAATGTAAAAAAAACGTCGCCTCTTCTACCACCCACAGCACCACCACTTCCCATCACCGGTTGGAAATCTGCCAAAATTTGTAGTAATGCCATAATAATGGCAGATTCAATGATAATTATGGCATTATGATGAGTAACAATTCCATTTTCTTGGCATTTTCAGAAAACAATGGCATTTTTACAAATAATGACAAAATTTGCACCAATCGGAGTTATCCATTTTTATGGGTTTTTACTACTACCTCCGTCCCTTTTATATTGGGACGAAAGAAAGTGGCGTGAGTTTTAAGAAAGGTGGGTTTGTGTGGTTGATATTAATTGATAAAGTAAGAATGATTTTGAATCACACAAACTTTACCAAATATGGTATGGGACAATTTAAGTGGGACTTCCCGAAAAGGTAAAACGAGACAATATAAATGGGACGGAGAGAGTATTTTTTATTAATTTGTTCAAAAAAAAAATATCCGCCAACAATTCTCGTAATGCCATAATAATGGCAGATTCAATGATATTTTGGCATCATGAAGAGTAATTATGCCATTTTCTTGGCAGTTTCGGGAAAGATGGAATTTTTTTTATAAAAAGTGGCAGAATTTTTACCGATCGAAGGTGATGGTGCTGAGAGACGGTGGGAAAGGTATCCATAGTTTTTTAAAAAAAAATTATGATTTTTTACTATTTTTTATTAATTTTAAAAAAAAATATCAAAAAAATAATAATTTGTTTAAAAAAATATTTTTTGTTTTTTTATTATTTTTTTACGATTTTAAAAAATACGATTTTTTTCTATTTTTTAAGATTTTACTATGCATTATAACGTTACTATGAAATAATACCCTTAGGGGCATTTCTGGTAGGAATGAATTGTTTAGTCCTATTTTGGATGGTAAAAAACGTATTGGTTCTATTTGTTTGTTTTTAGTTATTTTTGGTCTTACATAGAGCAATTTCTATAAGAAATATGTGTAAAATTGAAAATTAATCTTGGTAACTAATCATTGATTTCAGAAATGAAATTTGAATTTATTAAAATATCATGAACCATACGGAGTATTAATCCATGCAAACACTTGGAAAATGAAGTATGCCCTGTGAATAATGTAGACACGTGCAAACAAGAATATACTTAAAAAACCGCATCCAAATTTTGTATAGAATCTCTGAGAAACAATCAGATACGTTTTACGTCAAAAGTTTACAAAGCCAAAATGTTTCGCGTTTCAGACAAGGGAGAAGTAGGAGAAGATGAATTGAGATGAACTTCAGAAGACTGACCATGTTCTTTGATCTTAACCCCAAGTATGGTAATGACTTTGGACACAATATCCACCCACCCCTGTGCTATTTGAGCTCCATCTATAAAACCACTCATTATCAATCGTTCAGCCGCGAACTCTCTCAAAGAAGTACAAGTATCCCATGTCAAGGGGAGGATTCCTTGAGATCCCAACCTTTTCGTCATTGAAAATTACCCAAGCACCATCTTTATAGATATGGGCAACGTAATGACCACACTGGGTTGAATTACCAATGTGGCTGACTACTCCCATGAGCTTATACCCTGTGTTTGGGAAAAGAGGGAAAAGATTCAGATATTAATATATTATTGCGACAGGTAGATATAAGCTCACTTTGTCCCGGAATATAGTTCCCATTTGGATTTGACACGAAAGTTGTTGAAAAGTAAAGGATGTGATATACAAGTATATGTGTGGAAATGAGTGAAATGAAAACAGCCAAATATTTCTTTCGTGGAATGGAAGAGGGAGATTATTTCCGGATGTACCAAAAAGAAAAACAAGAAGTTTATTTCGGGATAGAGAGAATATATATATAGTAGCAGTTGGTGGCATGTTAATAAATTGAAATGTAAAGAAGAAGGCAATGGACTAACTTCCTTCACCGTCAGGTAGTGCAGCATCAACAACTGAAGTTCCACCACTGGATGATGTGTCCATATCTGATTTCTCTGAAGCACCAGGATTGTTAAATATCCAATCAGTCGCTTTCTCAATATCACCTCCCTGTCATCAATTAGTAATAATAATTTATAAGAGATTTAAATTCTTACAGAACTAAATTGACTTCAACAGTAGAGAAAATATAAATAACAGTGGTTTCATACTGATGCTTTCAGTGCCTGCCTAGCCAAGTCCTCATGAAAACCAAAGGAAACCAATGTATCGACTTGTGATTGATCGATATCAACACTTCTTCCTATTTGTGAAATTGGATCATCAATGTCTGGAAGAAGAAAAAAATGCAGCCAACAAGTCATGTGGTGTATTTACTTGGACATAATATATCCAAATACATATATGTCTGTTGTGTCGGTGTGTGTATATATTCAACAAAAGTAAAATACCGGGATCATCCATATGAGCAAGCAACCAGTTCATTGCACCCTCCACTCCGGTATTGGATGTGTTAATGGCTGCCTTTTGACAATGAAGTGAGTTAAATCCCATTGACACGAGTTGGGAAACAATGCCCTCATCAGCTACAGGTTGCTTTTGTTCCTCAATATCCCCTGCAGCACCTATATCCAATGTTAATGAAAAATGTTATATACGGAGTGGCTTATATGTAAATTTTCAATGTTAAGAAAACTGTTATTTTAATGGATTAAAAAAACTACTTTTGGTTCATTGAATATACTAGCATTCTAAATACAAGCCTTAGATGTCACAAAAATTGCTCTACTCTTGTAAGATTTAGGGTTAAGATGGACACAAGGATATCGGATCAAAGGGTAAGCATTGTTCCTTCCTTTTATTCCTTTTTACATCAAAACTCTTCCTCAATTTCACCAATCATAAAACGCATTCCCAAATGCACTCGTCATTCAATTTTGAATTATGAACTGCAGTGTCATAGTGTGTATTAGAAGACCAAATGTGGCAATGCAACCAAATATACGCATAATTATTGATGATGTTTTTAAAAAGGGGTCAAGAAGAGCCCCTGTAATAAGGGGGTCAAAATGATATTTACTTTGATAGGTAAAATGTAGAAAAGAGGAAGAGGCAGGACATAAATATAAATACTAGACATATTAAGTCCTTCAATCCATTCAAGCCAAAATATACACTGAGTACAACAAAAAATTGAATTAATGCAATCAGGAAATTTGAAGTCAATCCCTACGTTTGACTACTGCTTGAGGTGTACACTACTAATATTCTCAAGTTTCAGATCTATGATCCATCACAAATGTGATCATTAATTTAACACAAGATATTTTCTATGCAGAAATACCTTAACATTTTTATTTTTATGCGAGCATGCACGGAAAGAAGAGATACTCGTGCAAAAGAAAGTGTGTGTATACATGTGAGACTGCGCATGAAGAAATATATATCAAAGGAAATTATTGCATTCACAGGTGTACTTAAAAAAATTCAAATGTGATACAACCCACCTTCAGGTAATTGCTCTTCCCCAGGTCGAATACCCTTGCTGCGCATGTCACTAATGTCTATGATGTCAGGAATATCAATGTAGACATCTACAAAGGTAAACCAGAAGGAGGAAATTAAATCCAAGGATTAAAGGTGGACATTACAAAAACAATGACAGCTCATGAGGAAAAGTATACCTAGTTTCTTTGGAACCCATCCTTCCTCCATGACAAATTTCCGCATGTGCAAAACCAAATAATCAGGAAAAGAAGTCAAACCAGCCGTTCTATATGAAAAACAAGAGAATAAGGATAATCGGGCAATTGGATTCTCAAATCAGGTAATCATGTGGAAAAAACTCAAATAAGCTCAATTATTTTTCAACTAAACTAAATGATATAAACGCTCACTTGGTTGCTGTTGTTCTTGTTTTCAAAGCAGAGCTGTAAAAATCATGAATTTCTTCAGGAGCTGAAAAGCAATCTAGGCAATCCTTCAAAGGAACCCTTGGGCGAACAATTTCATCAGCTGGCCTGAGAAAACTGTGTATGTTAGCATGATGTCAAGATACAGAAGTACTTGCTCAATGTTCTTATCAGAACTTACGTTTCCTTTCCTTCTGCAGCCGTTTTAGCCTTGGCCTTTTGAAACTCCTCAACTTCCTCTAAAATTGCAGAAGATAATGTCTAAGAATAAAGATTGAAATTGTTTCACAACAACAACAACATCCAAGCCTTAAACCGAAAGGAGTTTTGGGTCGGCTAACATGAATCGACGTATGACATTGGAGTTAAAAACAATAAAGAGAGAAAAAGTGAGCCAAAAGATAAAAAGAGAGACTTGGAACAATTTAAATTGTTTCACAATTTTTAAAAAATGCATAAAAAATAACTCACTTTTGTTAATAGCCCTGTCCAGAGGAATATTCAGAGAGAGGATGTAATCATTCCTACGATTGTATGCCACTTTACCGGATGGACATTGTATACGTTCTTCAATACCAAATTTGAAACTCCTAGAAGGATCAGCTCTGGGGTTCCCAGAATTCATTCGTTCCACTTGATCAATAAAATGCAAGAAAAACTCCAATGCATCCTGCACGTGGTACAGCGCTAGTCAAGTACAGTAAGAATCTAACAATAAGCAACCATATCCAGAAAAAAAAAAACAGAAACATCTACAAAGATTCAATGATAATGGAAAAAAAAAAGTAACCATCTTAATCCCAACCAAACCCCAGCTACATGAACCAAGAGATAATCTTTTGAAGTCAATCACAAGAATCCGCATCTCACTCTCTATCATGCCAATTCTAAAGCCCAATTGCCCTAATGTCAGTTGTACACACAAATTCTAGTCCACAAAAATACAAGGGCAATGAAAAACAAAACAATAATGGTCTTAGTCACAACACAATGGGGGCTACATGAAACACAAGATAATATTGTGAGTCATCCACAGGTATCTGCATATTCCAGTATTCTCTGTCATGCGACATGCGCTTCTGAAGCTTTATTATCTTAATATCCTTCATTTCTGGTCTCCCTAGACTTGTTTATATATCTGCAGTGCTCACTACAACACTTACCTTTCAAAGATAAACATAACCTAACCAGTAGAGCTGCTTTCCTTTACAGAAAAAATGAATCATTGACTAAAAGAAATCCAAAAACCACAAAAGTTGGTATCTTACATATTGTTACTCGATTATGTAGTAACAAGTCCAGAGCAAAGATGAGAACAACAACACAAGTTTGTAATAATCTGCTTGTCCACGGCAAAAAGAAATTGCCACCATGCAACACACTAGCAGATATCATTTTATTCAGTTCAGAGAGCTCTGGATTCATCATTCTCATTTAGAAAGCCAATGAGGTTCTTAAAAATTAAAACATATGAGCACACCTGTTGTCTCATTGTTGAAAATTCAGGGTGGCTTGCAGCAATCACAGACTTGAACATACGAGGACAGATTCCATCCTGTTTCTGGCAAATAAAAAAATGTTTAGAAGGAAATTAGGACGCAAAATTATAGCATATGACTTGACTAATGTGAAGCGATCTAATATATGAAGCTCACAGAGCCAAGAGAGTGAAGCTATCTGTTTGCGCTTCAATAGCTCCAACACTACTTTGAAGTAAATCAAATGGCCTTAAATGTTTCAATAAAGATCAGTGTTCTTTTATTCTTTATTTTCTTATTGTGGGAGTCTACACCATTTTGGCTGATTAAGCACAAGCCCTGAAGAACCCAGCCTGATAAACTCCAGTCACCCTTCTAAGAGTCGAAATAGCATTTTCAGAGACTTCTTAGTCATTGGTTCAAACCAGTTGACCTACCTGTCCAAGTGTACAATATTTCATTTTTGTTACATGGGGAGTATCTTCATCACTCTCTTTCCTGCCGTCTTTACAGACTTGTGTCACACATCATTGTTTACCTTCTTTACAGGCGATGGGTGGTATCTTATCCTATCTAATATTGAGTGCATAGATTCAGATAGACTCAAACTTCTAAAGGGTTGTACGCCTTTACATCTTAGTTTAACTAAAAATTGTCAAATAGCATACCGGTGCTGAACTAGACTTTTCCATCTTTGCAGAACCTTCCTGGAAAATTTAAAGTTTTAAACACATATGTTAATAAAAAATATAGGAGTAGGTGAGTAGCATTTGCATGAAAAGCTTGTGCAGCTACATACCATCATATTTGGACTTGAATATTTTCCAGAAAGCAAGCCGAAGGCAAGTTTTGTACTGGCAAAGAAAAGAATCACATCAAAAATAGTCATATAACTACAGCAGGGGATTTATTTCTAGAATTATCAGTCCTTATCAAATCATATAGGTAACACTTAATACATATGTGTGTATTGAACCGTAGTTAATCCCTGATTCCCTGGTAAGTGGTAATGAACATCCATTCAAGAATTATTAGTAAAAACTTACAGCTGCATGTTAAGGTCAACCGTTGGGTCAGCTGGAGCAATATTAAAAGCTGTCTTTAGACTCTGGTCCAGAAAGTACCTAACAGGATATTTGACAAAATGGTCAAGAAAAGAAGACTTTGCAGAGAGTATCTAACATGAATTAAAAGTAATAATATTCTACATATAGAGTTTACCCATAAGATTAAACAAGAGATATGAATTTACCGGGAGCAGAAAGAATGTGTAGAAAACACCACTTGCATTGTTGCTGACAAATAACAACTGCCAAAGAAGATTAAGAATAAATAAAAGTACACTAAAAATATGAAAGAAGTATGATCAATTTGTGGAAACCCAAATTAAGCTATGCCAATTTAGTTGGCCACAATAGATAATTCAGAGATACCTTCTAACCTACATAGCTACCAATACCTGTTGCCAAGATTAACGAGTCCTGTATATCCTGGTCCAGCAAGTGGCTCAACCTCCTGTCCAGTTTCTAGAATCCGGTTCCAGTCAAAATTGATATTTTGATCAAGTTCTCTTTCAGCAGTCGTCATTTCAGTCTATATTATGAAACAAGATTATAGAGAGTAGGCAATGTCAGGTACTTGAGCTTATGATCCGTAAAGTAATTGCGGGGACAATTCAAATTGAGTATTAGCAAAAGCATGAAGAGCTAACGTCGACCTAACAAAACCAAGAAATTGAGTAATTGACAATATCTATTCCTATTGTTTCATGATTTTGACAAAACACCTTTACATAATACAGCAGTAGCTCTGGCAACACTTTTTTGTGTCCAAAGAATAACATATACAATGTCATAGAAAATAAAGAGTGCTGACCTTTTGTAAGGAAGAAAAATCAATGCCAAAGTGTGCAAGATGTTGTGCTAAAAGTGGGTCCAAAACACTATTATCTTCCGGATAAGAGAAAACGTCTGAGCTGCCACAATATAGTAACATACAACTCATTCTCAGTACACTCAAAACAACAGCATATATAGATTATTAAAAGCATGTGTTACCTATTAGGGATAGAAATGTGTTATACATCTAGTTCCAATGCCATACTATTAAGAAAATATTCTCTATTTCACATTAATCAAAGTCACCTGATGCATTGGTGTTGCACATTAGAAACACAGCATCTTCTTTATCGTAAGTGTTAATATGACATTACCTGCTCCCTCTAAATCGGCTGTTATTGTTCCAAGCTTGACTGCAAGAGGATAACCAGTTTCTCTGTAATGGCTAACAGCATGGTCATTACCACCACTTCCATCCCAATTTTTTCTACCACAGAGAATTGTTCCATCTGTCAGATTCAGCCAAAGATTCTCAATCTTATCACATTGAGCACACTTCCAGCCTGATGGAGGGATAACAACATGATTATCAAGTTGTTGTAGATCCATGGCATATTTACTAGTAAGCTTCTTGTCAGCTGTCCAGGCAGCAACTTGCTCTTTCCTTTCAGCGCTCTCAGCCAATAAAACAGCATCAACAGCCAACCTTACCTGTGAAGTCACATAGCAGCCCGACCAAAATGTCACTATTTAAAACAAGACATTTTTTGTTTGACATATTTACGCAAATGTGCTGATTTGAATAAGGTACACATGCCTTCTCTGGCAATTCAACAGAAGGAAAGGGAAGAGTAACATAATCTGGCAATAAGACTATTTCATAGCTTTCATCATACTCTGGTTCATTGTTATTGAAACCCCCATCAAGACCTAGAAAGAGAAAAGCACAACGGATTGTCTTAATTAAGAAAACAATAATAAAATGGAAAATAGCTAAAGAGGTCTAATTAATAAACTACAAAATACTTGCCCAATCCAACCATAACACTCTGACCAGAGAATGCTAACAATGTCTTCTGAGAAGTCTATACTATATTCTCTATTTTGGGAAGATGGGGTGAGGGGCAGAGTAGGGGTGTGATTGTGTGAAAGTTAACCTTCTGCTGAATTTACTAATTTAGTATGTGAGTATGCAATTCCTTTAACGTTACTCGTGTGTGTGAGCTTGTATGGTGTTTTATTCCACCCCAAGTAGTTAGGTGTTTCTTAGTTTATAATATGTATCTTTGGTGATTGCAAGTGATAGAACAGATATGCATAAAAAATACTGTAATTCAACACTTACGGTAATCTATATGAAATTAATAACAGAGATGGTCTTCAATTTTTAACCTTAAAATGACTTCAGAGTTCGGAAACCTATATGACATAAACTTAATGATCAAAGGCTGTTCCACACAAATTAGTAAATATGACATTTTTTCGGCAGAAAGAAAGGTATTCTTAACTCCAAGTCTCCAAGACTCCAACGCTTAAGTTTTGCAAGATTCTGTTGGAGCACCTAAACACCAGCCTCGTCTACCTACTTGCACCCCTACTACGATACTTCTTAACCAAATAGTCAAGTACACGCCAAAAAGAAATAGTGTTATTGTAGCAGCCGTCATTAAAGATATTGTGTTATTGAATAAGTCAAACATCGTAAACCACGTGGGAACCTCTCTACAGGACGGAGGGAGTATCATTTTATTGGATGCCATATGTGTATGAAAGGTAATTGTATGCATAAATATAACTATGCCAAAAATACATAAAAGGTATGGAAAGTGGTCATCCTGCTATCCGCAATACTGCTATATCATTTTCGTGGTAGGCCTCTACGCTCCACTATCTGAGATTGACAACACTGATAGCACATCGAGGAACAATTACATACTTGTAATAGTACATATAGTTAATTTTAGGTAACACAACGATTCCGGACAAACGGGGTGGAGACAAGGGGCTGGAGGGGGCCTCATCGCCTCGAGCTTCCCAAGAAAAATTCTGTAAGCTTTGACCCCCCAACATAAATTCTTCAAGACCCAGTCCCCTAAGGCCCTAACCCACCATTTCTGGCTCTGCCACTGCAGACAAAATGTGATAATATAGATGACTTACACCTGAAGCTAATAATTTCAACCAGAATGTCACAACTCACAAGGATGGATGCATAGCCGAAGTAAGAGAGAAGTTAAACTGCAATTGAATTTTAGCATCTACTACAGTCCTCTCTTTAATGCACAAGGTAGTAAATTAAGATGGTAGATAAGAGAAACTTACCTATGGCCAAGAGAGTTGGTTTCTTGGAAGGCCTGTCCTCAGTGACTGGCTTCCTTTCCTGCTTAATATGTAAGTAAACTGGGTTTCCAGTCTTTTCATAGTTCCAACCTACGTACTCCTTTCCAAATGCTAAAAATGTGTTCATGTCAACAAAAAGCCCACCATCTGTTTTCTGGAAAGCAAAGCACGTGAACTAACACCATTAAGAAATGCACAAGTAGCAAATTCCAAGTTCCAACTGACCACATCAGTAGCACATTTACCACAAAACAGTATCCTTATTTGAGAGTAATATAAGTAGCTCTGCCCACTCGAAAGCAGGCAAAACAATAAGAAACAGTTCTAAACACGATAGCTCATTTCACATTAATGTCACGCAGTTTATACATCAATATTGATAGCTGATAAACCCTAACAAGCTCATAAAGATGTGAGCTCTATAATTCGATCATCTACATCCAAAGAAAATTATCTAAGGATTTCTAACTGGAAATATTAGTAAATGACTAAACAATCAGAACCAAATGCCAAGACGGAAATGAATGTATACACGTGTTAGTGAAACGCGATGCATGTATTACCGGAGAATCAAAGGAGATGCAGCATTCGTGCTTGTAGATGCGAGTGGTAGGCTCTGGAATTCGAACTCGAGACAGGTTTGCTCGGAGGAGCTCCATCAAGTTTCAAATTGTGAGTCTGTAAATGCGTATCGCTGTATCAGCTCATGGTATAGTTCATATATGGAGTCATCGTGTTTGTTCGTTGCCCAGGAATTAAGGCTCCATGAGTGACGGATCGGATCTGGACCGAGCTTTCGTCTCAAAAAAACTTGAGATGGCTACTGGGCCGAGTTGGTGTTAAATTCGGCCTGTGACCATTGGGACGGCCTATGTCACTTCCTCTCTCGTTTTGCTTCACACTCTATTACACCCGTTAATTTGGTATGGGTCAGGTGACAAATACTAATAAACATTGTGAACTACTCATAGGATATGATCAAAAGTTCGGATATAATCAATTTCTTATATGAACTAACCACCATCATGGAATATGGGTGAAGAATCACCATCTTTAGAGTATGAATTTATGGTTATATTGTGGTTTATGTGCTTATTGTTGTAATAGTTACTTCATATTAATTTAATTACTTGCAGGGCTAATTATATGATGAGGGGTGATAAGAAGAAGTGTTGAATGAGAATTTGGAATATGTTGAGTTTACAATTTTACATTATTATGTATATTCACGTGTATTATTGGTGTTGCGCAATTAAAGTCCCGTTAACGTGTATTATTAGTCTTGAATTAGATCTTCACTAGACTTGTACAAAAGCGGGTTCGGGCCGGGCTTTTCATAAGTTTTCTGCCCATCGTGTGTGGCCGGGCCCGGCCCGGCCCGCAAAAACGGGTCTAACCCCATGTCCATACCCGCCCGTCCATAAACTTTAAAGTCCTATTTCGTGCATTATAACATCATTATTTAAAGAATTTGATGTTGTACAATTATTTTGGAAATTGAATTGGTATGATATTTATTCTTATAGTTATACTCCATTAATATGGTTGATATTAAGATGTGAATGTTGTAATCTAATCTTATTTGACTTTTTGTTTGATCTGGTCTAATTAAAATAAGAATAAGTAATAAAGAGTAAACAACAATAACGTTTTCTCTCACAGAAGCTCGACTCTGACCCTTCAGGAAAGTTAGTCGATGCTACCAACTATCAGGCTATCATTGGTTCCTTGTTGTATCTGACATCTAGCAGACCGGATATTGTCTTCGTAACCTGCCTGTGTGCTCGCTTTCAAGCAAATCCAAAGGAATCACATATGAATGCAGTAAGAAGAATACTTAGATATCTCAAAGGCATAGTCAATCTAGGCCTTTGGTATCCCAAGAACACAAGTTTTGACCTTATGGGATACTCAGATGCTGACTTCGCAGGTTGCACGCTGGACAGGAAAAGTACATCCGGCGGTGCGCAATTTCTGGGAGAGAAGCTAGTCTGTTGGTCGTCCAAGAAGCAGAACTGTGTGTCAACTTCTACAGCCGAAGCAGAATATGTTGCGGCTGCTAGCTGTTGTTCACAAATCCTATGGATGAGGACCCAGCTCAAGGACTATGGCTTCTCGTTCAAACACATTCTGATCTACAGTGACTCCCAGAGTGCAATAGCCATAACCAGCAACCCCGTTCATCACTCACGCACCAAACACATCGACTTGCGCTACCACTTCATCAAGGACCATGTAGGAAAAGGGGACATTGATTTGTATTTTTTAAGCACTGAGTTTCAACTGGCTGACTTGTTCACTAAGGCACTGGATGAAAAGAGATTCGAGTTCCTAGTATCCAAGTTGGGCATGTTTAACCTCGAGCCGTTGTGATTGTATATGTTTTATTGGTCTGAATAAAATGCATGTGTGTGGTGTGCGTTGCATGTGTTGAGGGGAGAAAAAGGGAGATAATAAAAGAGAGATGAATAATTTGAGGGGGAGAAAAACAGAAAAGAAAGAAAAAGAGTGTGTGTGTGTGTGTGTTGTTTATTTTTTTTCCATGCACAGTTCGAGGGGGAGTTTTTGATCTACGAGAGTGTAAGTTTTTTAATGTAACTGAGCCCCGAACATGGTTTTAAAATGAAACTGGGCCCAACTCAAATTTTGGGCCCAAGCTCTTTCTCGCAAGGCCCAGAAACTTCTCGCATATAAATAGACTTCGAGAAGTGATTTCGCTAAGCATCTCACATTTTTTTTATTTCTCGAAGTCCAGAGCAAAAACTTCTCGCAATTTTCTCTCAAACTCACTCTTCTCGAATCCATCTCCAAATCACTTCAAAGGTAGTGAGTCTGATAAAAAGGAATCTCAAATGACTTTCGATTACTATAAACAGGTTCTCGACTTCAATGCGAGAAAGATATTTTTCGTATTTGAAACTCGAGAACTTATTTTCCCGAACTGGAAGGATGAACATCGAAAAGTTTTTATTGATTATCTATATGTGTTTTATGAATTTGCAGGTGGTTCTCGACATTATTCTGAGTGCAAACTCGAGAAATTCACTTTCTCGATGTTTAAAACTCGAGACCAACTTCTCGATATTTCAAACTCGAGAAATTGGTTCTCGATATTAAAACCTCGAAAAGGACTTTTCGATGTTTTAATACCGAGAACCTACTTCTCAAAAGTTGAAATGCCGAGAAGAGGTTCTCGATATTAAACCTCGAAAAAGGGGGTTCTCGAAGTTTAAGTCTCGAGAAGGACTTTTCGATACTTTTATCTCGAAAACCAAGTTTTCGATGTTTAAGTATCGAGAAGAGCTTCTCGGTATTTAAACCTCGAGAACCTACTTCTCGATGCTTAAACCTCGAGAAGATGGTTCTCGTGGCTTACACTCAGAAATTTTCTCGAGGTTCCACATGTACACACCTGATCTGAAAAATTGCAAAAACAGAACAAAAATAAAAATTTCAAATGAACAATTGTGCTGACCCAATTTTTTCAGTCAATCATGTCAGCAACCGACAGAACTGCACAACCGAGCAATGCAGTGTACCCTAAAGAGAAATGGGTCCCACTGTATGACAACAACTTCTAGCTGGATCTAAAGCTGTTCACACTAGTACAAAAAGGTCATTCTACATCGGGCTTTCTACATGTGTTATTCTACAACCCATGTGAAATAGTGACACGGGGCTATATTTATAATTTTTATAAGTTATTTGGCATCAGCTGTTTAAAACACCGATGTGAACTTAAAAAACGGGGTTTAATTTATAATTTTGTAATGTATTCCACATCGGTTGTGTATTTATCCGATGTAAAAAACAAAGTAGGGTACTTTTTTGAATTATTGAAAAATACTTTTACATGTGTTATATCAGTTCTGGAAAAGTTTAATATTTTTCCAAGAACAAGGGTTTCGGAATCGCTGTCTGAGCAAAATTGAGGAATGGCGGCCAAAATGTGTATTTATTCCATAGCTTTCAACCGAGATACAAACCCGACGGCCTACGCAAATTACAGATCTCCAGACTATATAAACGAACAGGAACACAGACCTTCCCCAGGCTAACATCAGTGACCGTGAGCGGGTGTCAAGCGTAGTTGTCCGCAAGAGTAGCAAGCTGCGAGCCTAGCAGTCCGCTGTCTTCGAGCGGCACAGGTGGCGAATTGTGCTGTCGTGAGCGGAGCAGGCGGCGAAATGTGCTGTCGTGAGCGGCGCAGGCGATGAGCAGACCATGAGCAGAGTAGGTAGCGGCCGCATCATGTAGGGGCGTGAACACGGCCTCCTGAACCGCCGAGGGATGCTCCGTCATACTTCTGCTCAGCCCGTTATGTGATGTGCAGCGGTAAATAAAAGTATATTTCATATCGGTTATTAAATAACCGATGTTGATTATTTAACATCGGCCAAAACTGATGTTATATGTATTAAACAGTGGCGGTTTTGATGTTTTCTATATCGGTTTAGGTAACAACCGATGTGGAAAGATTTTTCAAATCAGTTACAGAACCGATGTTAAAAGTGTCTACTTTTCACATGTGCTGGAACTACATCGGTTGTAGAACCGATGTGAAAAGCCTTCTTTAACCGATGTGAAAAGCCTTTTTTGTACTAGTGTCAAGTGCCAGGATCCAGTCATTCTGTCCATCCTACAGAAGCACTACATATGGCCTGCATTCAACGAAGTCAAACTGGTACCAATGGTATACTTGCAGCAATTCTGGGGCTTGATGCAGACACCCAGTGAGAGTGGTGCTGACACCCTCCACAATCAGGGAGACACTAAAACTCCCGGTGCTCAAGAACTACACACCACTCCCCTCCAACGAAGAGCTGATCAAGGGGATGAAGGATCTAGGGTATGTAGGACCACTACCCCTGATCTCCAACGTCACACTCTCCAACTTCCCCACCCATGGAAGAGTCTGTTCGGCTTGGTCAACAAATGCTTGTCTCCCAAGCATGCTGGACATGACAAGTGCAACAAACAAATTCTTCAAATCTTTCATGGGATTGCTTTTGACGAGAAGTACGATATGGGCCAGCTCTTCTAGACGGAGTTGATGGACCAGGTGAAGTTGAAGGAGAAGAACAAAGGGAGTACCATCCCCTACGCTCGATGGTTGGCTCTGATGGTCAACAATACTATGGAAGCCACCCCGACAATGCCAAAACGAAAGGGTGATGAACAGTTTGTAGCTCCCAAACTGAAGTGCTTTCAAAGAGACAACAACAATGTTGCAGCACTGCCTATCCCGGACTCTCTGCTCAATCTGGCTAATCCAAGGGATCATGCAGTCATCAATTATAAGAAGGAGCTTGAGAGAACAGTCCCTATGGTTCAGTAAAACCCAGTTGGACCTTCCCAGGGGACTAATCCAAGTGAGGGTAAGAAAAAGAAGAGTGCCCCCAAGCCACAGAAACCAGTGGCAGTCCGACCTAATGATGATCAGTCTGCTAACTCTTCTGAGAGGACCCAGACTGCTGAGGACACTGCCGATGAACCATCAAGCCAGACCCCTTCAAATAAGGCTGGTGGTGAGGCCTCCGATTGCATGGCCAAGAGGAACGATGATGATGATGATGCAGATGATGATGATGACATGGAAAGAGTCCTGATCAGCAACAGAAAAAGAGCCGGAAAGAGGGCCATTACGATCGACTCAGACACCTCATCGGACAACGAAGAGGCTGCTCACTCACACCGATCTCTCAAAGGTATCATTATAAGTGAGCAGCACTCCAAGCAAGGAAATGACAAATCTGCATCATCCAAGCCTATGAAGAGACTGAGAAAGAAGAGCTCAG